AGAGAGGAACCTGGGTGTCGTCCAAAGAAGAGAAGAAAGAGCCAGGCAGGTGAGCGACACCTGATCCCAAGGCACTTTGGAGCCGAGTGTGGGGGATACGGAGGATGCAGGAAGATCGGAGACCAGTCGCCGGGATAAGATGGGTGAAACCGGCATCTCTACTGGAAAATACAAAAAATAGCCAGGTTGTGGTGGCAGCGCCGAGTCCAGTACGAGGGAGCTGAGGCAGAGAAGGCGTGAAACCGGGAGGCTGCGAGGTGAGTGGAGATGCGCCAGGCGGGGGCAGCTGCCAGCCTGGGAAGCAGAGGTGAGACGTTCGGTCTCAAAAAGAAAAAGAAAAAAGGACCCGCGGGCGCGGGTGCTCAGCGTAAGCCAGCCTGTTGGCGAGCGGGCCGAGATGGCCGCCGGTCGAGACCGCTCGAGGAGGATCGCGGAGCCATCTGGGCTAATCGACGCCGGTGAAACGCACCCATCTCTTACTAAAAATACAAGGAACTAGCGGCCGAGCGTTGGGGCGGGGCCTGTAGTCCCAGTACGTCGGGAGCGCTGAGGCAGGAGGATGCGTGAACGCGGGAAGGCGGCGCTGGCGTGAGCTGAGATCGGCCAGCGGCACGCGCCTGGGCGCAGAGCAAGACGTCCGTCTCAGAAACAGAAAAAAAAAAGAAAGAAGAAGGAGGAGCGAATACATGATAGGCGTCTCTACTAAAAATACAAATATGAGCCGGGCGTGGTAGCGCACGCCTGTAATCCCAGCTACTCAGGAGTTTAAGGCAGGAGAATTGCTTAAAACTGGGGGGAGGAGGTTGCAGTGAGCCGAGAAGGTGAGCTTTCTGCACCACTGCACTCCAGCCTCGGTGACACAGGAAGGCTCCGCGTCAAAAAAAAAAAAAAAAAGGGAAAATAAGAGACACTGTAAAATGTGCAAAAATCAACAGCCACGTCTGTGTCCCCCTTTCCTGATTTCACTAATTTTCTTTTCTTTTTGGGATGGAGTCTCCTTCTGTCACCCAGGCTGGAGTACAGTGGTGCAATTACAGCTCACTGCAGTCTTGATCTCCCAGGCTCAAGTAATCCTCACATCTCAGCCTCCTGAGTAACTAGGACCACAGGTACCTGCCACCACACCTGCATAGTTTTCTTTGGTTTTTTGTGTGTGTTTTTGGTGTTTCTTGGTGGAGATGAGGTCTCTCTATGGTGTCCAGGCTTGACTTCACTAATTTTCTTATAAAAGACAGTAGGAGGCTCCATGAAGTAAGTGAGACAGAAACCAGGGGAAGGGGCCAAGGCCCCAACAGGGAGAATCCAGGCCCCTCAGCACACACACAGGAAGATCTGCTGAGGCCACTTGGCAAAGTTGACAGTACGATTGTTCACTCTCATGACAGAGTGTCAAGTAGGGACAGCATGGTCTCCACTCCCAGGCCTTCTGGGAAGATCACGTGTTAGGTAGCCGAGTGGCAGGTCACTTACCTTGAACCAGTCTGCATATGACTGGAACGCAGAGGGGCCCTCCAGTGCTGCCTGGCGCACAACCAGGAACGCAGTGACCATGCTGTCCAGCTGGCAGCTCTCGAATGCCTGGGCCATCAAACGCGCCACCCAGTCTAGTTAAGAACCATGACATAGTCACAGCAAGGCAAGGGCAGCCAGCAGAAAGACAATGTGAGCTGTGCTGGGTGATCAGGTATTCCAGTAGGAGAATGTGCATACCCAAACACCAAGTTTTAAAAGACTAGACAGCAATCACAGCATGTCAAGCACAAACCACTAGAGACTTGAATGAAGCAGCAGTGCACACTCTGGCCTGTCAGAGCAGCAGTCAGTGCTTATGGAAGTGTCCAACGAAGACCGTTCCATGGACATGAGGCACTACAGGTTCCGGGCAGGTAGGGAAGGGCTTCACTGAGAGGCTCACCCACAGTCAGCTGGGACTCTGCTGACACCAGTGCTCAAATCACACCCCCACACACTCTGACCAGCACCACGGGGCTCTCGTGAAGGCTCACCTTCAAGTAGCTGCTGCGCTTCTGGAAAGCAGACAACCAGTGCAGATACAAAGGAGAGCACTCGCTGCCAGTGAACCTCCTGCGTTTCCAGAACTTCTTGCAAATGGCCAACCAACTCCTCTGGACTCAGCATCACAAAGAGCTGAAATAAAAGTGTCCGCTCCCTTCAATATCAACGCAAACCAGTGTGGGACAGATGACCCCTCACCTCCCTCCCAGCCGGTAGCCACTGCAGCCCCCTCACTTCCCACTGCAAAGGTAACACGTGGAGCTGTGACAGCTGACACAGTGACGTCTCTCCCCTGACAGTGGCGTCTCTCCCCTCACCGTGCTCAGCACTGGTTGAAGAGAATCCTCCTTATCTCAAGGAGGAGGTACTCAGCCCAACTGACAAGTTCAGTCTCCTGAACCGATGGTGGCCTCAATGAGGACAGCCATGTCTCACTAGACATCCCTGAACCTCCCGATGTGCCGTCCATGGCAGGCAGCATGACACGGACTCGGCAGATCTTAATCCCCCACCACGAGCTCGGCAGCAGGTCTCATACCACCTCCACTCACCCTGCGGTACAGTGCGGTGAGCAGAGGGTGCGTCCGCGCAAAGCTCCACTCTCTCTGCATCTGAACAGCATCAGATGCTGCATGGGGAGAAAGAGACAAAAACTTCAAGTCAGAGATCAAGAAGCTGTGGGTTTTGTTTTTGGACAGGGTCTCACTATCACCCAGGCTGGAGTGCAGTGCTCACCACAGCCTCAACCTCCCTGGCTCAAGCCATCCACCTGCCTCAGTCTCCCAAGTAGCTGCGACCACAGGCGTGTGCCACCACAACCCAGATACTTTTTGTATTTTTTTTTAATTTTTTGAGATGGAGTCTCGCTGTGTCGCACAAACTGGAGTGCAGTGTCACAATCTCCACTCACTGCAAGCTCCACCTCCTGGGTCCAAGTGATTCTCCTGCCTCAGCCCCCCGAGTATCTGGGACTACAGGCGCCTGCCACCACACCCTGCTAATTTTTGTATTTTTAGTAGAGACGGGGTTTCATTATGTTGGCCAGGCTGGTCTTGAACTCCTGACCTCATGATCCGCCCGCCTCGGCCTCCCAAAGTGCTGGGATTACAGGCGTGAGCCACTGCTCCTGGTCAAAAAGTTGTATTTCAAAGCTTCAGTGTGAAAACAGATATTAATATGTACTTTTTCAATTATTAAAGTTCACCATCTCCCTGTTTGTTGCCTATTTGTTCTATCATCAATTCTGTTTCTCAGGCCCAGTCAGTTACTTGTAATGCTTTGTCATATTCACAATCAATATTTCCCAACGGACCAACTGCATTTCAACCTTCCTGCTTCTAAACTGTCAATAAGGCTGGGAGCGGCGGCTCACGCCTGTAATCCCAGCACTTTGGGAGGCCAAGGTGGGTGGATCACGAGGCCTAGACCAGCCTGGCCAAGATGGTGAAACCCTGTCTCTACTCAAAATACAAAAAGAAGCCGGGCATGGTGGCAGGCACCTCTAATTCCAGCTACTCGGGAGGTTCGGGCAGGGAACTGCTTGAACCCGGGAGGCGGAGGTTGCAGTGAGCCAAGATCGCGCCACCACGCTCCAGCCTGGGTGACAGAGCAAGACTCTGTCTCAAAAGCAAAAAAATTGAATACATAAAGTAAACTGTCAATAAACCAATCATGGTGGGGATAAAATAACTGTCAACAACCCAATTATGGTGGGGATGCTGTTCAAAGGAAGCTCAGCTCGGCCAAGTGATGACAAAGCCCTGAGCACCTCACAGCACCTGTCGGGAGCCATCCATGCATGCCTCGTCCTCCACCCGTCACCCACTTCCTGCCTGAGCATCTACCCTGGGGATATGCCAGACACAGAGAAAGCTCAAAGTGTCCATCTTGGCCCCACTCGTAAGAGTGGAATCTCGGAAACAGTCTGTCATACATGGGTGACAGGACACCCACTGGGCAGACGATGCCCGGGCCATCAAACGTGACACCCAGTCTAGTTGAGAACCATCACACAGTCCCAGCAAGGCAAGGGCAGCCAGCAGAAAGATAATGTGAGTTGTGCTGGGTGATCAGGTATTCCAGCAGAAGGTGCATACCCAAACACCAAGTTTTAAAAGACTAGACAGCAGCTGGGCACAGTGGCTCATGCCTGTAATCCCAGCACTTTGGGAGGCCGAGGCGGGTGGATTACCTGAGGTCAGGAGTTCAAGACCAGCGTGGCCAACATGGTAGCTACTCGGTCTACTCAAGCAGGGAACTGCTTGAACCTGAGAGGCGGAGGTTGCAGTGAGCCAAGATCGCGCCACCACGCTCCAGCGTGGGTGACAGAGCAAGACTCTGTCTCAAAAGCAAAACAATGAATACATAAAATAAACTGTCAATAAACCAATCATGGTGGGGATAAAATAACTGTCAACAACCCAATTATGGTGGGGATGTTGTTCAAAGGAAACTCAGTTCGGCCAAGTGATGACAAAGCCCCGAGCACCTCACAGCACCTGTCGGGAGCCATCCATGCATGCCTCATCCTCCACCCGTCACCCACTTCCTGCCTGAGCATCTACCCTGGGGATATGCCAGACACAGAGAAAGCTCAAAGTGTCCATCTTGGCCCCACTCGTAAGAGTGGAATCTCGGAAACAGTCTGTCATACATGAGTGACAGGACACCCACTGGGCAGACGATGCCCGGGCCATCAAACGCGACACCCAGTCTAGTTGAGAACCATCACACAGTCCCAGCAAGGCAAGGGCAGCCAGCAGAAAGATAACGTGAGTTGTGCTGGGTGATGAGGTATTCCAGCAGAAGGTGCATACCCAAACACCAAGTTTTAAAAGACTAGACAGCAGCTGGGCACAGTGGCTCATGCCTGTAATCCCAGCACTTTGGGAGGCCGAGGCGGGCGGATCACGAGGTCAGGAGATCGAGACTCATCCTGGCGAACACGGTGAAACCCCGTCTTGGGCGAGGTGGCGGGCGCCTGTAGTCCCAGCTACTCGGGAGGCTGAGGCAGGAGAATGGCTTGAACCTGGGAGGCGGAGATTGCAGTGAGCTGAGATTGTGTCACTGCACCCCAGCCTGGGCAAGTAAGGCTCCGACTCAAAAAAAAAAAAAAAAAAAAAAAAGAATCTGTTCCTTTCAAATGAAAGGATATTCAGTAACAATCTCAGGCACCTCAGGACCCAATCTCTGCTTGAGGTCCCAGAGCTCCTGGCGTCTCCCGTCAGCGTTACCAAGGCAACAGAGCAACAGCAATCCCCAAACTGGGCAGCAACTGAGCAGCCTCCGCTCGGGGCCCACCTTTCAACAGAGGGCTGTGAGTGAGTATCTGAGTCAACGTGTGACTGAAGAACCTCTTCGGAGAATCTGTGGAGATGACACTGCCGAGCATGTGTCCACTGAAC